CAAAAGTGTGCCATCAACGTTAAAATTTAATTCCGGTAAAGAACGGAATCTGATAATGTGACGTTGTGAATTCCATGTTCAAAAAAGGAGAACATTGGGAACAAGGAAATGGAAAAAAGTTCCTTTATGTATTAGTTGTATATTTATATATTACTGAGCTATTACCTGAAAATGCACAGGGCAAGTGTGATAGGTCGTACCTGTTCTGAAACGATTTACTTTACTTAATTGTTTCAACAACTTTAGGAACGCTATAATTCATCTTTTAAACATTTGAATTGTAATAATTGGTTTTGTACAGGCATGGTTCAAATATCTGTTTTGCGGCGATATACATAAGTGCTTTATGCTGCATGCAACCGGTGGTCACCTGCTATTGTAGCTTAAAAGACTTCAAAAATTATGTACCATTATTTGTCTGGTACTCTGTAATGAAATATAAATTAAACGAAATGTAAATACAAGCAAGTAATAAACATCTAGTAAACAGCGATTAGCTGCGAGCTAAAAAGTTCAATAATTTATTAGATAATATTGTTGGGATAAATGTACAGATTAATTAACATTAACGATCCATTAATTAAATAACCATTAAACGGCGTTTCAATAATTAGAATAAGCAACTGCCGTCCATTTAATTAATATACCTAGCGCAAGATTAGATTGCAACAAGCGGAAGTCACTTATGCAATATCCGCGAAATCATTTTTGTTATTTAGTCTGTACTACAGGTATATAATTCTGTAATTGAATAATGCCTAGCAATTAGTTTGACGATTTTGGAAACGTATTTATCAATAAAAACTGCCTTTATTCTCAGGTAAGTAATGTATATTATGAAATATATAGTACGAATTAATTTTTAACGTTTTTTCAATCGATTCAAAACGTTATCGTTGTCCACATTTATGGTATACATTTCAATTTAAATTGATTCATTTATCTGATAAGTGTAGAAATGTTTTAGTCTTTAAATTATTAAATTTTAAAATATGAAAAAGTTAGAATTTTGTCATAATGTTCTTTTATATCGAATGAAATCCGTGACGATGTAACGGTACAACCGCGTAGTTTTTAGTATTATCAGCCACCCATAGAAACACAAAACGTTTCTTTAAAAAATCGCCACAATTATTATTGTTTAATTATTTTTGAAAAAAAAATAATGCTAAAAATCTAAAAGTTAAATCTAGCAACAGCCGCTTAATACAATTAACATTTTCAATAAGTAAACTAATAGAAATATTACAATAAATACAATTCTTCCATCAGTTATTTCATGTGATTTTATCTGTCATAACTTTTATTCAGAGAAATGTGTTGCTTCTCTGCTATTGATGGTCAAACTTGTAAATCAGCATCAACTTTCAAACTCATAAATAAGCAATTTTTTAAGATTGTACTCCAGAAAGCATTAAATCAGGTAGATTTGAAATCTCCCAAATAGAGGAAAATATGGAAATGTTCCACAGTGTAGTAAATAACGTGAAAAGCTGCTTTAAATTATGAAATTTTGTCATTTATCATTAAAAAAAAACTAAAATATTATAGATAAGGAACTACTAAATTGAAAAAATTAAACTATATTTCCTATCAGCAATACAGAACTTGCGTCAAATTGAAAAATTATACTATTACTATTTGGAATATCCTATTACCATTTGGAAAAGAGGCAAAATCACCAACGCTAAGCGGTGTCCTCCTTCAAACAAATTTCTAAGAATTATAACGCAAACCTTCCTAGATGCTTTGTCGTTGATATCTGTATACCTGTTTCTGCAGATTAGCTAAAACATTTATTAAAAAAATCGAATTTAATTATAAATTTTGCTTTTGAGATGTATATTTTACAAGTTATTTTACTGTTAATCATGTAGTATATTTTGAAACCTAGAAATGGTGACATTAATTAATATCACTTTTGCATTTGAAACAGTTTGTGGATAATCAGTAAACGTTATAGAACGCATTTTGCGGGCAAATAATTGCAAGTACCTGCTATAATAAAACGTAGAAAAAACAAACAGCAATAAAGTATCGCCCAAGCAATGTACACACCTGTGCTGGGATTCTTATTATACGAGATTATGGAGTGCTTAAGCCATTTAACATACTTAAGCTCTTTTAAAGCTGCGCTGCAAAATTGCGGCAACAAATAACACATTTTTAAAAATATCTATGAAATATTTATACATGTAATCCAAGCTAATTAGCACGAAATATTGCGAATAATTTGTTTAAATAACTGTGGTTAAGTATCAGGTGTAAGTACCTACATATTTTCTTTTGCGATCGATCCGCAGTTACGGTGATCAAAACTGGATTACCTTGGGAATATTTGTAATCAGACATAGGAAGTATTTATCAGATCATTAACTTTGTCGTATAAAAATTCATGAATAACTGCAGATAAAAGGAATAATGTTTTAACGGTGTATAATTCAGATTGAGAGATAACAAGTTGAGAGAATGATAATAACATTATGCTGAAATGTTGGCATAGAAAAGTTTAATGTTTCATCAAAATAATGATTATTATTAAATGCACTTATATTAGTAGCTATATGACTCATTTAAAAATATTGAATAAAAATGACACAATTAATAATTGAAGGCAAAATTTTGTTTATAACTTTTCGATCCAGTGGATCAGTTGGGTGCCATTTTTAGAGGTACTATCATTAATAAACAAAACTTGTAATTTTTACTTATCTACGTTTTGCCTAGTTATATAATCTTCTTCATCAGAAAAGTTAATCACACAATTAATCTAGCACAATATTGGACCAAAATTCGTGTATCAATTAAAACCCCAAATGAAGAAATAAAGGTATACGTAAGTAGAACAAAGATAAAGGTATAGAAAAAATATTATAAATGAAAAGTTAGGCGCCGATGTAGAATTAATTGGCAAAATAACGTGCAGTTTTCTGAATTGCTTTTTATAAGCCAAACCCATCTGACAGGCCGAGATTAGCGACTTGCGTGTATCATTTTTTATGATAGATAGTTGTTGAAAGATAGAGATATTTGTACCCTAATATACCAAGGATGGTGAGACAGAGCATACTAATTATCATTGCGTTTTATTTACAATTTTAAAACAAAAATATATTAACAAGCAATAAACAATTTGGCACGCGAAAC